ACCTCTCCCCCCCGACGATAAATAACCCTAACCCTAACTTCATACTACAAATTTTTCTGCGAATTCGAATCTTAAACCCCTGTTTAAGATATTGATATTCTATGGGCAATTCAATGTATTTTTAATCGTCTCTCCGAGAGTAGAGACAGCGAGTCAGTGATCTCTTTAATGCTATTTCCAGATCTACCGTCAAAAGCTTAGAGCAGGTCTTTCCAATTGTTTCTGAACCTTCCAGTGTAAAATTTTTTAGCTCTTAGCGCTCTTTTAGTACTTTCTAATGGTGAGGAGACGACAACTGCACAGCATACCATGCATATTCAAATAAAAAAGCTTTGTGTCCTGGGAGCACTAGGTGATAATGCATAGTCCGTTTGCAAAGAGGGGCTTGTCAGGTCGCATGCGTTTTACTTCCCATGACAAAGAAACCAAAGAACCTTGAATATTCCCTTTTTTTCACAGAAAAGAAGTCATGGCGACACGAGGAACATTTTACCATAGAAAAACGAGCTTTCTAAATTTACCTTGAGCTGTTTGTGGATTTCTCTCTGATTTTAAAAGCAGCTGGTAAAGTAATTTCTCTCTTAGCACCTTCAAAATAACATTAACTCATTTACATCTGTCCATCGAATTGTTATTTCTTTTTATAGGCTTAATTTTTCCAATTATAAACTAATCCATCCTTCTAATGGACCTGTCGTTATCCTCGATTCCTTTGGCCCCGTCAAAAGGCTTTTCGCAAATTGTGTCACTTGCTAAATCTTTTAATCGCTCTTGTTACAATATTTAAAGAATACTCATTTAAGCAAGAAAACAACAGAACCAGATTTTCGTGTTAGAGCCGCATCTGAGACGGACAAATTTAATCCAAAACGAAAAATCACTTATTCATGATAAATCAAAATAAAGTTAATTGTCGGTACGTCAATAAAATTCACGTGTTTCCGCTATCTCAAGGTCGTAAAAATTATTAATGCGATCAGGAAAGACAGCTATTATATCTAACGATTGCGTTAGTTTTAGATATAATGAACGGAAATCTATATTGACTTCCAGAGAACTTTCTGGATTAAATTTCTGAGGCGGCTTTCGCCTTTAATTATTTACAGGGTCGTTCTTTCTGCACGATATCTTTTTGAACGAGGTAATTTTTTAAATCTTATTTTCATTATTCATTTTTCAAAATCATGCTGTTTTTCTTCAATATGACTCGTAAACCTCAAGCGAAGCTCTTGCCACCCTAACTGAGTAGAGGCATTTGTCATAAAAGGGTTTATTCTTATCGGAACAAACAAACTATGGAAAGAATTCTGGGACGTTGACAGTGTGTTCGAAGCTTCGATAATGAGTGTGAGAGAAAAGCCCACTTCGAACGATTTTTGTGCGGAATGATTCCCTTTCCCCAAAAACAGACATTAGTGTCCAAACTCAGACAGTAATGTCTAAAATAAATTAATTGTGTCCAAACTCAGACAGTAATGTCTAAAATAAAACATTAGTGTCCAAAATCAGACACTAGTGTCCAAAATCGGACACTATTGTACAAAATCAGACACTGGTGTCCAAAATCGGACACTATTGTACAAAATCAGACGCTATTGCCCAAAATGGGACCCAGCTATCCAAGTACAGATCTTGTGTCCAAAATCAGAACAAGTGTCCAAAGTCGAACAGTACTGTACAAACTCAGATCTTAGTGTCTAAAAATCAGACACAACGGTCCAAAATTAGAACTAGTATCCGAAATTAGACACAGCGTCCAAAATCAGACATTAGAGTCGAAAATCGGACATTATCGTGCAAAATCAGAGACCACTGTCCAAAATCAGACACAGCTGTGCAAATCAGTATTGGTGTCCAAAATCAGAACTAGAGTCCAAAATTAGACTCTAGCGTCCAAAATTAGACACTGCTGTCGGAGTAGCCTTGGCTGTGTGAGCCGGTGTTCCATCTTGCAACAAGGTCGTTCTCCTATTCGAAGTAGTTAAGTTTCTTTTACGAGTTCTTCTAAAGAAGATCAGCGGCTAGGTAAGGGCTTGACTATCTTTTTAGTATATTGTTCATGCAAGAATTAGATGTTGACGTTTTCCCTTTTGGAACAAAGCGAAGAGTTGTTATGCTGCAGCCTGTCATTCCACCCCATTCTCGGTTTCTCCTCAGTTGTTCGCGAAGTGAACTTTTTTTTTCACTCAGCCTCGCTTCTCTGTACTATTTGTTATGAGACAAAATTGATATCAAGCAAGAATTTTCTGTATATGTGTTTTTAACTTAGAAGAGAAGAGTTGGAAAATGAATGGAAATAACACATTTCCACAAGCCATTCAGTATTAAAAAAATATATATAATAAGCTAACTATATAATAAGCTAGTTGATTATATCTAACACCTCTTTCTTGAAGGTAACTTAAAGGGTAACTGACGGTAAGTTCTTCCCCTTTTTTTGTCCTAATAAATTTCCCTTCGGTTAAAGAATCCTAGATAAGCAAATAAACGATATATTGTGCAAAACCAAATTTGCTACAAATTCTTTTGACGCTTAATCGACGGCCATTTTGAAAACGTTCCGATCCAGGTCACGTGATGTGATACGTCACACGTGTGTAAGGCAGTGAAAAGGGCCACGTTAAGACCTGAGAGTAAAAGCTTCGCCCTCGCTGTCCAGCTGCTACCGAGCGAAAAAAAAAAGATATTTTCCATTTTGGTGCAGGCCACCAATTAGAGACTATGAAATACGAAGTGAGAAACAAAATGCTTTCTCTGAAAAGGTTGAATTATCGAAACGCGACGGGTCGCGTATCTCTATTTGGAGCCACAGGTAAATTGCATGCAATGCTAAACAGCGGTTAAAAAAATATCTATTATTTTTTTTCTCGTTTTCCTCATGACCATTATCGAATCCGTTACTTGAAGAAATTTTTTTAGTCCGAGCCGAAAAGCATTTTAATTAAGATTTGTCCGGTGTATATCACTGTGACCTCAAGCCAATCGGTTCTGGAGTGAACGTGAGATAAGCACGAAGTGTTGTCGCGTATCATAGGGGGTCTTCACTTGGTTTCGTGAACGAAACTCTTCTTCCACGTCTCGGGAAATGAAAAAGATTTATCCTTCTTTATTTTTTTTAACGGAGACTAGTGAGCAGCGAGCAGCACAGCAGCACAAAGAAAGACTTCATGCTGTTTGGATAGCTGCATGTAACCGTCGCAAACGTGTGAAGCGACTTAAACTTTTTGGCCATAAACAAGGTACAAAGACCACACAAGGGGAAATCTAAGTTCACAATAAATTAATGTTAAGTTGCAAACAACTCTTATACTTTTCATCCTCCGCACTGCATTTAAAATGATTTAACTCATATGAACAGCAGGTGGCTTTTTTGGGGGCGGTACCCTGGGTACGTCCTTTCTTCTCCAAATTTTCTGTTTATTCTGTTGTTGTGTAACAGTTTTCAAGGGTTGTCTTTTTCTTTAGATATCTTTTAAAGTGTAATTCTAATTTCGTCAGTGGGTACTCTATGATTTTTATATTACCAATCTTGTTTTTGTTTTGTCCGATCTTAACCGGAAGAGTATGAAATTTTTAGGTAGAAAGTCGTTTGAAAAAGAGTCAACAAAAATTTGATCACCCCAGTCGGACTCCGAGAAAGTATTGAGTAACGAGATAAGAAGCAAAAAAAGCATTAACTGCACAAGGAGTGTTGGAAATTGTCCCAACATATTTTTCCCTTTTTTGTGTCTATGTATGAACCATCTCACACGGAAAACTAACAAACACAGGACGACGATTACATAGGCAAAACAACGCGGGAAACAGAAAATCAAGGGCATTCGCGGTTTCTACATTTTACGGGAAAATAATATTTCTAAATTTGTTCTTTTCTTTTAACTTTTGAACATTTTTAAAACTTGAAAGTAGGCAAAATCAGGTTATTTGAAAATTATGGCTTCCTAAATGCGAAAATAAGCAAGTTATAGAGTGTAGAAAAAGGGTGAAAACTTTTTAATGACCTTGTAGTGTCCAAAATCAGACATTAATGTCCACAGACAGGTAGGCATGACTCGCGAGTTTAAAGACATGACGCATGACTTGAAAGACATCACTTGTAACTTGAACTCAAGACCTAAGAAACTCGATTGGCGAGTTATTAAGGATTAACCGGCGACTTGAAAGATATCATCCGCGAGTTGAAAAGCATTATTCGTGACTTGAAAGGCACAATCCGCGACTTGAAGGGCATGACTCACGACATGAAAGGCATCACCTGCGACTTGAAAGGCATCACCTGCGACTTGAAAGACATGACCCGTTCCCTGAAACCCACGACATGGAAGGCACGATCAGTTGTGTGCCGTGAATGCATGACCCGCGACTTGAAAGGTGCAACCCTTTTCACGCGACCATTAGTCAAATTCGTCGTAAAAGAGATTCAGGAGAAGAAAAGAAAATCAGGAGTTGATAAAGCCAGCTAAGTACTTATTATCTCATAGATACCATACACGTATATTTACTTATGACAGTGCAAAAAGTCTTCACGAAGAGCAGATCAAATGAGACATGTGGAAAAAAAATTGAATGGTAAAACAAATGCTTTGTAGCATTTTTTTCTCCTACGAAATATCCGGAACCGTAAAGATCCGTAATTAGCCCGCGTAGGTTGATACTGACACAATAAACATAATTTCCTCTCGATGAAAAGAAGCTTTTACTTTCTCGCACCTATGAATTCAATTCTGATTAAGCACACTCAAGACTAAGCGCCTCTAAGAAACCAGAACAAAAGATATAATTTTCAATGGCTGGTAATACTAAATAGTCTCTTTTATATTCGAGTATTATTTATACAGAGCTTCACGAGAGCCAATTAATATTTTACTCGTTTTAATTCAGTCCAACACTCTAATGCAGCATGTCAATAGCCAATCACGGGCTAGTTGTTATCGAGAAGGAAACAAATCCCGGAGATTTAACGTCTAACTGAAGTGTTGCATTCTATTCAAGATAGGTAGTAACGCGGAACTTGCCTAACACAGAAAATCCGTCGCACAAAAAGTCAGTCGAACGAAAAACGATACCATGGTGCCTTTGATAACTTTCCTGTACGCCTTTCTGAGCATTCTAATCACTTTCGCAAATGCATTTGTGATATCTGCCGTCTACTCAACGCGTGCACTTCGAAGGATTACAAATTATTCCCTGGTTTCGTTGGCCATCGCTGATCTTGTTGTTGGTATGGTTGTTCTTCCTGTAAGGATATGCGAAGCACAAGACTTTCGCAAGTCGCAAAATTTTAGTTGGTGCCAATTTTCATTGAGTCTTACATTGCTCAGTTTGTCTGCTTCTGTTTTGAATCTTTTAATTGTTACTGTAGAGCGTTACTTTGCTATAATTTTGCCTCTTTCGTACTCGAGTAAAGTTACTGCTCGGCGAAATTTTTATGCAATAATTCTCGTGTGGTTTGTTGCAATGTTTACCTCGTTCTTGCCGTTCGTTACTCTGAGGAACATGACAGCTAAAGAGCGTGGCCGAGAACACAAGATTTGCCGATTTGCAGACACGATGAGCCCAGAATATTTGACATTTTTTTCAGCTGCCATCGTTTTAATTCCGACTTTGTTCATCTCCGCCGCCTACTTGAAAATTTACCGTGCAGCAGTCAAGCTGAGAGGAAGACTGAAAGCTTTACAAGTGCAGCGGGATGGAAATCATAATATTGCAAAGGCGTTAAAAGAATCCAAGGCTGCTAGAACGGTTGGTGAGTCATGCCTCTTAAAAATCTTCAACTGAATCTAATTTACCAGGAATTAAAACTACCTTAGTCCAAGAGCTTTTTGATCTCCAAATGAAACTCACATTACCTGCTTTCAATTTGCGTTGTGCAGCCAACATAATCAACTTTGCAAGAATTGATTATGGTAAATTTTAAAACAGGATGTGTTCAATTCACGCGCCCCCACATCTTGCGTCAAAACTTGTTCTAAAAGCATGACGTCTGAGAAACTGTCGCTTAACTAATTTCAAGCTTTCTTTTACTTTATTCATATATTTTCACCATAACATTTTTTTCCGGGATTCGATATTGAGCGGTTTCATGGAAATCAAGCGTACAAACTTTGTATTTAAGTTGAAGAAAGAAAAAAAATTAAAAAAAAAATTTTTTTTCAAAGTAATCAAAGGGATATGAGACAAAGCGACTCATAAACGCTGTACATTTCGTAGCGTTTGTATCAAGTGTATTTCCGGAACACATGGTGACTTCCTGTAACTTACCCGAACCGCGGCCGATCGAGAATTTTCCACATTTTGTTCCGTCTGAATGTAGCCGGTAGAAGAAAGAAAAAAGGCTCAATATCATTCCAAAACATTTTTGAAAACTTTTCCGTTTTTTTTTTTTCAAATTGTTTCTTTTGAGCATTGATGTCTCTTACAGCGCTACGTCTTATATTAAGGGCGACAAAGCTTATGAGGAAATTATGAATTTAATTTTGATGTTCTATTAAAAATACTACTGAAGCTCTAAAGAAAAGGTTCTCTGTCCTTCATGTCATTTAAATTATTGATACAATTGAAGCTACGCTTACTTGATTGAAATTTTTATAAACGAGTTGGTTTTTTATGAAGGACTAATGTAAGCAAAATTCTTTTTAGAATTATTTTTGCAGATCAAAATGCTTTTAAGTTCTATCTAGAATACATCTGTTATGCCGTACCGAATATGGATATAACCCCATTGTGCAGACCAGCACATCTAATCTGCTGGAAATCGTGTAAAAGCAATATTTTATTTGATATCTTGTCTCCTGGAGACTGAAACAAATTTCTAATCAAAACATCCTATGGGGGAGGGGGAGGGGGCAGTATGTAAAAATTACAAGCGTGCAGGGTTGCACGCGTATCTTGTTGTTGTTTTTTTTTGCTTTTTTTTTTTCTTTTTGAGATATTATGCGAATAATTATTGCCATAAAGTTGCATTATCGCGTTACATCGAAACCTTTATTCTTTCCCTCAGCCAAAGACATGGACCCTTAGAGGAGTCCGTCTGAACATCAACCTTGACATTTATCATTAAATTTCAGCCTTTGTCCCAAGCGACCGGCTCAGTATGGGAACGGTCATTATATATCGCGAGGGGTGGGTGGAGTTTCGGACGATTTTGGTAGTGTCACAATAAAATACCTGATCCTCCCCCCGTAAGGCTCTACAATATTCCTATGATCCCCTTCATTGGCCGTCAATTTTCCACAGTCACCCCTTCATATTCTATTGGCGACGACGACTTATCTCCCCTCAGTTCCTCCTGAAAATCATGTGAAAGATATTCGGATAGAAAATTTAAGGGGTTTCGTAAATTTATCTATTTGTATCCACATAGGATAATTCTCACACTCTGATTACTCTTTTTTTGTTTGTCAGGGATTGTGGTAGGAGTATTTTATCTGTGCTGGATTCCTTTCATGGTAGCAGTCATTTTGAGTGCTTTCGTCAAAAATTTGATCACCCCAGTCGTAGTTCTGGTCATCTCTGTTCTTATCTATAGCAATTCCGCCATTAACCCAGTCCTCTACGGTTATTTGAATCGCGACTTCCGGTTGGCTTACAAAAGAATGTTTTCGAGAATTTCCTTACCTAGCGCATGCGCAAGAGTCCATCCTCGCGAAAGAAGAAGATGTTATGAGTTACCAGAGTTATCTACGAGTTCTCAGCCTGGTCAAGGGATATATATCAGTGACAGTGCGTTGTGATCATTACGTATCCGCCGCCAATCTGAAACCGAAAAGACCCTGGAACGACCCTGGAACGAGTTTAAGGCACTATGTGACATATTTCGAGTTCCGAAGAAGCTAGGAAGCCATTATGATTCTTTGACAGTCCATGAGGATTGCCACTAAAGTGGGAACGAACGACAAACACAAACTATCCACACACGGAGAAACTCGCGCGGTAATTTCGCCGTCACCATATGTCCCGTTCCTAAGCGAAGTTGGAAACAGTTGCTACCGTAAACAGAACCCGACTTTGATCGCGAGTTTGTATGTAATGTAGTTTAGAACTCGATCCGGGCAGGGAATTGATGCTACAACATTTATAGTATTTTCTCTATGATAAATCCTAACTCTTAATTCTAACTAAAATTTTTTAAACCACTTTCGACCACAACTCGAACTACCAAAAAAAACACCACTAACAAAAAATTACGCGCTTGCATCCTCATTTGGTTGTTTCGAGACAACACCTGTGATTTGCGCCATATTGTGGCAAGTACATATGGCCTTGTGGTAAATAGTCTGAAGCACTAAAGGCTTAATTTAGTCAAATAACCTCCATAGTTTAAATGCACTCACAGACGTGAACCTCACGTTGATAAATCGGCCTTAAGTCTTGGGGAGATAAAACACATCAAATACTGATAATTTTAGAAACGTCACATTCGAAAAAGAATCAAGAAGAATCACAGAAGTGTCATTTTAAAATAATTTAGATTACACAAAGGACAATGAATTCACCTATGCCTGAATACAAACAGTCGGGTTGATAAGCGTCGAAGATTCAGTTCAACTGGTAAACGAATACCAACTGACCTTCATCACACGATAACCATAACGTCATTATCCGGTTCCAGGCTGTGCGCGGCTAATAAGCCACTTGTTGATGGTTTTGGTGGGTTTTGCCACCCGCCGATACGGGTGACTACAGAACTCCAAAAACACAACTCAAAAAAATGCAACAGGAAACGCTTGCTGGCTGAAAATTGAGAAGGCATGGCATGCAACGGGTATTAAGGCTTCGGTGGAAACATTTTTGAGTCAATCTCAGCTTGCCTGGCTCATTACAGTATTCAGCGCGAGTGTTTCCAGATTTCGCTACAGATAAGGTAAGATTGTTCACGTCTAATGTCGACGTCGCGCTTCATCAGACGGGCATCTAACCTAATGGGTCATCATAAAATTACACGTCCATTTTATGGTTAGAGTGATTGAGGAATGTTTTTTTCTTGCTTTCTTCTCACGAGTATGAGCGAAAAGTTTCCGCTCAAAAGTGCGACCCTTCATTCCTATGGCAAATATGTTCACTGGTATCCGTTGACTGTATGCAGCACTGGAATATATATATATATATATATATATTCATATATTCACGAAGTTGCTTTGTAAAATTACATGTAAATTTGGTCTGGATTTGTGGGTTACAAGATAACGCCCATAGTTAAGAAAAACCTGGAACCTGTGAGGAAAAAGTTAAAAAAAAAATTATTGACTAAAACAACATGTATTTCATTGTTCTTTTAGACATTTGCGGATGTATAAATATCTTGTTTGTTTCCAAACTTTTGACTTAAAGCGCATCCGTGTTGATGAGTTCTGTCTAACTCTGTGTCTGCTGTCAGCTGCTTTCATTTTTTCTATTTACCTTTGAGGTAAAACTAAATTTATGGCAAATTCAGGGAGAGCTGCGAGAGTTGGCGCCATGAAGAGCTCAGTTCGTGTTCAGATTTCCCACTCGGGCGGCACAGTTTCACCTACATATCATCTCAGTCATTTTGATATTCAGCCTGTTAAGTATTTAAAAATACAGTGTTGTATTGAGATTCCCATCTTTTTATAATTTGGAAAAAATCGACAAAGTTCTTATTTACCTTGCAAAATTAATGTGAATAAATGGAATCAGGTGAGGGCTGATTTTTCTCTCGAGGAATTTTACTATTTCCGTCAACCAAATGTTTTCCTGTTATTAATTAGTTACTCCTTGTGACTGCACTAAAACATCAGAAAAATACTTAAAAGTCTAATTATCAGTGCTCAGTTGCAAACTGAATTAAGTCTACTGTTTGCTCGCACTAACACCTGCATGTAGATTTTATCAACCGATGTGATTTGACCAAATAAAGTGAATGTCTAAACTTATTGTCACGGCGAGATATCTGATCACTCTCGAGGGTGACAGCTATTTAGGTGTCCCACTTCTCAGAAGACAATCAATTTTTTCAAAATCTATTTTTATTTTTTTCCACGTCATTCCCGCGGTTTGCCCTTAAGTAACAAACCAATTCAAACTTTGATATTTGCTTGGACAATCATGAGATGTCAGTCACTTTCTTTGGGGGGTGGGGGGGGGGGCGGCGTAAGGAAACAATTGTATTCTGTCACCACTTGTGGACATCAGATGACCGTTGCTCATTTGTAGTCGTAAAAAGTACTTCGCGCGCTTTGAGTTCTGGTATGTTTTTTCCTCCAGTTTGGAGACGCAGAGATATCTGCAAGAGAAAAAATCGTCTACTGACATGATGAATGGACAGGAAATCAGTTACATTTACCTAAGAGGTGAATAAAGTCGTCCTTAAAACGACCTAAGGTTGCGAGGGTAAATTTGTAAATTTACTCTTCGATAGAAAGGGAACGAGGGGTGTCACCATGAAGTTCACATCGAAAAGAGGTATAGAAATGGCGAGAAAATTATACGAAGCAGAGGAAAATTATTGAGTATGTTGGAGGCTCCAAACGCATCCCAAAGTCGTAAAAAATAATTAATCTAACCCCCGAAAATGTTATACTCTTGAATTTGCTGATGGTAGTATCACGCCTGTCATAGTACCTCACCCAATTCACCAAAAATCAGGAGTGAGACATTTTTGCTTGTGATTTCGACCCAATTTTTTGATGCATAAAGTACACAGATAGTTTCTAAATAGCATTGGACTGTTTATGTTAATTTTTTAAATAAAATTATTCGCTCATGTTGAGGAGCGTGGGTCAGCGTTTGTTTAAACTGTTTAGTTAACCCCACCCTGTTTTACAAAACCGAAATTTTTAATTAGTTAATGGTAGCAAAAACAGGGAACCTTCATCTGATTGAAATTTTTACCGGCAAAACAGAATTGTCAAGAAAAATTATGACCTAGAATTGTCACCTAATTTGAATTCGACCTTTGCTATGGCGTAGTCAGTATAAACATATCAATTTCAGAAAGCTTTCGGTCCGATACAAATTTTTTGTTTTATTTAAAAATGTCGCTGACCTGAGAAAATCTCCTTATTTAGCTGGTCCACACGGCGGGAGTTTAATTGGGGTAGCGGTCATATAGAGTATATTAGTTAAAAGTTTGAGTGCCATAACTATGTCTATTTACGTCTGATGGCAAATATTACGACTGAAGTAGAACTCGGCTTTCTCTATATTAAAATTTACTTTCCACAATATCAAAATAACTGACTCTTTTCGCGCAATTTTATATAGCAAGCCTTTTGCTCGGATTTTTTGTCTTTCCGCCAGTTTCTTGTTGACCTATTTTTTTCCGACCAATCGTAAAGAGTTTCAACACACCTGCTATACGCGGTTATAACGGAATGTCTCTATAATTTACTCAATTTCAACATTTTTAAAGTCGAATCTGGCCAGAAAATCAAAAAAGGTTTTCGAATAGCAATGAAGTGAATTGTACAATTAGATAACTTGCACTTTGATACGAAATATTGCTCAGAATTATCTCGACTACATAAATACTTAAGTGCTAACAGTGAGTTTGTTCTGAAGCTTGTGCATTATAACACAAGTTATATTTAAAATTGACGTTACCACAATTTTCATCTACCATTGGGTCTGAGTGTGTTACGCCATCGTTCCCTAAAACAAGCGTATTTCAACTAAAAAGAGTCGTTCAAGTTGTTGTTAAGCGCTTGCTATCTCGCTAAGCTAGTCTGAACTCGTTTTTCACAACAAGAAGGGCAAAAGGACGATTGAAATCACATGTGCGCTCAAGTGTAATGAAGGTATTTCAACTTATCAACGGACAATCACTGTTATTTCACCAGCAGCTTATTCATGTGCACTGTAAACGGTCGATGATATCTTTGGGTGGAGTTTATAAACTGTTAAAAAATCCAGTCTTACGATATACTTCACTGGGTTAACCAATCAATATTTCCCAGCTTACTCAGGGACTATTCTAAAACAGCCTCTGTTCGAATTCTCCGGAAATCAACACACATGTATTTATTTGGGGTTTCTCCGTGAGGCTATGAACCGCAATTGTCAAAGCTCGCTAAAAGCGAAAAAAAGTACTATCGATGTAGATTATCGAAACAAATCATAAAACTACGCATTTAAGTTCAGATGAACGCTATGTTAGCTGACATCACTGACGTTCTAAGATTCAATCGTGTAACAATAAGGTTTATTTGATAGCTGCGATCGAATGAAAAACGCATTGACCAAATTCTCGAGGTGAATCGACGTTTCTCATTAATATACTTCAAAATGAATAAGAACTGCTTGAACTTAGACAATAAAAAGTATCCTTTCGCATATACGTACCATTATTTCATCAAAAGTAGTTAAGGAGTACTGTACTAAAGTAATACACAGATATTGAGTACTTTGTTAATATATTCAATATAATACACTCTAATTCGATTTTCTATCGACCTCCTCGATTGTTGCGTTCGTGTTAACCTCTAGTTATCTTTCGTGTTCGTGATTTATTCTTTATTGTGATTTTGCTTGTTATCCGTGAAAATAATCCTTAGGGAGCCAACAGGTTGAGCTATATTTCTGAAGCGCTTTACTTGAGGTAAAAATTGACGGTTTGAAACTTCGTAACCAGCGAGAACATATGGTCTAAATGGTGAGGATTTCTTTCATCCAAATAAGTGCTTCTTTTCTAAAACGGTATCAAAAACTTCCAATCCTAAAAGAACAAAAATGTTCTGTCTAAGGTTTTGTATCAGTACCGGTTCATGTTTATGAAAGTTATTCGGCCAATTTCTAATTAATAAATGACCAGCGACAAATTGTAGGTGGCCGGAAAAATTCTTGCCAAACAAGAACGCTGTGCCGGGTAAAAAGAAGAGAAATTTCCCTTGGAACTTTCGATAGGAACGGTTAAAATGGTTTAGTTCCGTCGCCCTCCGTAAAATTTCCCCCCGGACCGCGTGTCTTATTGATTTATCAATGGGTTGAGGCGGAAATTTCCTACTAAATTAAAGCGCCACAGTTTTACAACCAAATTAAAAACTCAATTTCAGGGTAAACACCTGTATAATTGGAACATAAAACTACAAAGTTTTGAAGATTTAAAAGAAATTCCTTAGCGAAACTTAATTCAAATGGCTCTCCCTTTCAACAGCAAAATTAAGTTGAAAGAGTTTAACAACATGCAGTTACTGTATTAGTTCTGGGAAAAAAACTGCCCCATCTTGTGTGGTTAACGACAGTTCTTTTCTCAAGAGACTAAAATCTTGTCGAATTTAGATATTTCCTTAACAATTGTACTAGCAATCGGAAAAGGGTAATATTAAAAAACTTACACCTACTATTAGACACTTGTGACAATATTTTGCGTTTAAGTAACAAACCGTTGTCCTTGCGATTACAATTTCCGAGAAATTAATATTGAACGTGGTATTGCACGAAATATTTTATCTGTAGAGTTTTTTTTCCAATTACCTTCATCTTTGGAGGGAGTGTGTTTTGATAGGGCCTGAAAATGCGATCAGATGTCATTTCAGGTTACCTCATTTTCAAAATTAAACTCCGCATTAAGCGACACTTTGTCAATATCCTGAGGACTCACTTTTGAGTATTGAATAAGCAGTTCACTCAAGTTGAAATATTAACAATTGACGCCGTATTCACAAAGTACATCTCAAGTTCGGCCCAGATCTAACATTTTATTTATTGACTCCTTTCCTTAGGGTTCTGGGTCGCTAAATAGTCTGAAATGCCGGTAGAAGTCAATTTTCAAGCTTAGTAATGAAGAACCTACAGTAGCACAAAGCTTTAATGTTGTGAGTGGATCACTATTCTGAAATGAAACCGCGAAAGGGAGATAACCAAGGTGAAAAGTGTTCAACCATCAAAGTTGGAAGAGGTAAGCGAACGAAATTGCCATTTGTGAAAACATGCAAAACTTAAAATTCACCCATCGATTTGAGCTGGTTATTATACACATGTTAAAAACTCAGACATGGTTTGATGCTACTCTAGTTTACATATTTAATGAATGCAACCGAAGAAGTTACAATTCATGGACCCAACGTTTCGACACTCCTGTCTAGTGCCTTCATTAGGGGTGATCTAAACTAGATGAAGGCACTAGACAGGAGTGTCGAAACGTTGGGTCTATGAATTGTAACTTCTTCGGTTGCATTCATTAAATCTGTAAACCAGAGTAGCATCAAATCATGTCTGATCGTCCACCTGGTTACCGTGTGAACTATAATATATGTTAAAAACTACTTTGGACTGCTATATTTTCTTTCACGGATTTTTGACGAAATATCGTTTTATTGACAATCACTTTTTGTTGGGAGTTTGACTGTCTTGCACGAACACTAATTTAGAAATGAGCAGTTCCATTACCGCATGACTAAGCGATATTTTGGATTAGTTTTGTTATAAAAAAGTTGCAGTTGAAAAAATGGAAAATGTTACTTCCAGTACCATGTTCATCTGATGTGTTAATCGCGTCACTATGATTAATTCCAGCTACATTTATTGTATAATTTTTCAGTGTAAGTAATAATCGTTTATAGTTTTAAGTCAGATATAAAGCACTAAAAATGGCCACGATCGTTTCTGTAGTCGAAGGTGACAATGCAAGTTTTTCTTTTTTGCGTCACAGATTCCGGAAGAGTGAAAGTTTTCGTGCGAGTGCGTCCTCCTCGACCGAATGAAAACAGTCGGAAAGATCAGATTGCTGTGAATGTTGAAGAGCTCTCCTCGAAGGTGAGTGTAAAATGCCACCTCTTTCTTATTTACAGGTAATGATTCCTAAAATCGGTATCACTCAATTTCTGACTGAGTTGCACGTACGTGTTACCCTCGAGAGGAGTGAGTTTCCGACCCGCGAGAACGCGCGAGATTCTGTGAAGACACTTCTGCGTAAGTTGACGACGTCTGGTCAGTTCAAACTCGTGCGATTTCGGGTCATACAGCATAATAGTCATAAAATAAATTTCTAAAACATGGGAGCAGGAGTCTGTCTTGTATACGTGACAATTACATGGTTGGATTCACAACGCAACATGTTCAGCCAAAACAAATATCACGAGACAAAACAATCATATAGAACAAAACAATAAAGACTTACGACTGAAATATAATGTTCGTCACGCGCGTGTGAACGAGATAATTGGTCAGCGGGCAGTTATTTGAAGAGGAACTCGCCAGAGGCGAATTGTGTAGTTTCCATCGTGTTCGAGTCTTTCTTTGTGGTTATATGTAATTCTTGGCGCTTGAAATGGCTCTAAGCGATCAACTCATGAACGGAAAGGAATCAAGTACACATCCGGTGGTTTACATCTCGAGAAAAGAGACTTTTAGTGCGAGTCATCGTTTACACAGTACGAAACTGAGCGACGAAGAGAATCGACGAATATTTGGGAAGTGCAATAACAAGAACGGACACGGGCATAATTATACTGTGAAGGTGACAGTTTGTGGACCAGTGGACCCCCTAACTGGCATGGTCATGAACTTGACGGACTTAAAAACGCACATGGGTAGCGTTTTGGAACCTTTGGATCATAAAAATCTTGACTTGGACGTACCATACTTCAGCGATGTGTGTTCAACAGCAGAGAATATTGCTGTGTATATTTGGAAGTGCTTGTCAAAACGTCTGCCCGAGGGAATTTTGTTTGAAGTAAAAATCGACGAAACTGGCAAGAATTCTGCTCGTTACAGGGGTGGAATGAGCGCTAATCTCCCGTTTGACGTATTGTAAGCACAAGGAAGATTGTCAGCATTAACAGTAGTATAATTAGAATCGTCATTGTTGTTGATTTTTTTTTCATGGTATTCAGAGCTAAATACTATCTGAAAACTGCGTCAGCAACATCCGATTTTACAACTTTTTCATACAGGATACTTCTACCTCCTATGTCAATAGATATCACGGCGATTCAGTTAAAACATTTCACTTTCGTTTTGTTGAAAGTTTTTAAAAGAGCTTAGATATTTACATCAGCAGTTGATTGGGGTGTTATTTTGAGATCATGGAAACATGCTGGTGACAATTCAGATGTTTACGTGTTATCTTATGTAAATACCAAAAAAGTCCACTATTACTCAAATTACTTAAATTATATTAAATAAATTATATTACAGTAACTTAAATTAGACGAACTGTTAAAGCAAAAATGGGATTGAAAGTTCACTTACATAACTTTGATATAAAATATAGAGGAAAATCTAATTTATACCATCTGTGATGAGCTTTATGAAGTGATAATTTTTTCTTGGGTAGGAAATTTTTAAAAATGCACACTTTTCTTTTGATGCACTAATCCCTCTAAATGAGAGAAATCTCAAATATATCTGATATGACTTGAGATTTTCAGTTAGTGCCATTTTTACCATGTGCATGTACCAATTATTTATTTATTTGTTTATTTATTTATTAACTTTGCCTTACAACAACAATCAAAATAAGTAGATTAAAAGAAAAAAAGCAAAAAAAAAAACAGAGAAAATGACAAAAAATGGCAGGGACACTGCAACAGCGTAGCCAATTACAGAGGTCCCAGAATATAAAAGAAAATAAGACAAGAAGAGAGGAGGAAAGAAGCTATCAATCTATATGCAGCAAGCAATCTTAGAATTTAGTGGACGGACAGTATTACATTTTAAACAAATAGACTTGAAGGTTTCGGGATTATTTGGATTGTAAGGAAGAAGTAAACTGGCCAAATAGAAGTTAAACATTATGGTCTTAAATGAGTTCAGAGTTTGGGTTTCAATGTTAATGATACTGGCTGAGTTGTTCCAAATCTGACAAGTTCTGATAAAAAAGGACTTTTGATAGGTAGTAGTTTTGCATTTTTTAGGAACAAATTTGATGACAGCGTTAGTGTAGTGCATGGTTCTTGCAACACGCTTTACAGGTAATACAGAACCATTTAAAGAGACAAAGTTAAGCATAGCCTTGTAGAAGAATATAATGTCCAAAAATTTGTGCCAATATGTGATGGGTAGAATTTTCAGTGATTGGAGTTGTGTCCTCTAATCTTTGAATGTTGAGAATGGCAAACATAAGATGAACTTTGTGGCATGTCTTTGGATGAACTCTAACTTCGAAATTAGTTCAATGGATTGAGTAGCCTTTCCTTTTGTTGTAGAAGGATTTATTTTAATTCCAAATTGAGGGTGATTTCTCTAAACATTTTGAGTGTTCAATTGAAATTTGCAATATACAAAGTAATTTTTGGATATTCATGCAAAAATTTTGAAACTTATGTCAACCTTATGGACCAACTATGGTATACAGAACTTCTGAAGTATTACGATTACTGGTCTTTGAGATACTCTTCATAATGATTAATTGGTTGAATAAATAAAATTTTACAGTATTGAAGATGCTGTGGCTTTAAGTTTTCAAGCTGGGCTCTGGGCCAAGTGGTTTGGGTTTGACACCTGTAATGTTATTGTGTTGTATCTTTGGGGTGAGACACTTCACTCTCATAGTCTTCACAGTGTCTCTCTTGTCTTTAGCCAGAAGTGTATTTAAGTATTGGTGAACTTTTCTAGCATCCCACCAAGGAGAGGGAGTGAGGGGGAGAGGGGGGGAGGATATCAGCACTATCAGCTGTTTCATGCTACAGAAAACAGAATTAGCTTCAGCAGTGTGGGACTCATGGAATGAGTACAGCCTTAGCTTTTTATGCCCTAGCACCAGTACGCATGTACTCCAAACTGTTTTCTATTCATTTTCTACAGTGCTGACAAGGAGAATTTGTTGAACAATCAAAAGCTTCTGTAGTTGGTGATCATGTTCTTTATTCTTGTGACCTTAATGATTCATTCAGGGGTGATATGGTAACAAGAAATTAGATGCTAGTCACTCTGAGGTGTTAAAGGGTTAACCAGTACCTTATAGTAAAGAAGGATGGGATGTGTTGTAGGTCAGTGGTTAACACTGGATATTGGATAGAAATATGTGGGAGGTTAGTTGACCTTCAAAAGAATAAGGTCTTAATGGAGCTGGACAGCAGAAAAATAAACTTGAATGATGGTGTAAATTTGGTTAAAACATATATGGATGATCTGAACCTCCACCATAGACCTATCCCTGCAAATCTGCAGCAACTGAAAAATAAGAAATTGTCCTTTACCTAAGAAAGCCTTTAACTTGAAAAAGTTAAGAGGGACTTGATGTTCAGGAAAATTGATTTATCTCAAACATTTTTTTCCATGTGAAAACTGTATCATAGTTGTGTGGAACAAGGTCACAAATTTGCTGTATAAGGCACTTTTCTGCTGAAAAATCAGCCCGTTCTTTAAGGTTTTCAAGTCAATAAAAGTGAAAACTTGTTAACACTTAAACTTTCTACTTTCAGATCCATGTCACTGATCCCAAGCACAGTTGGGAGAAGACTTTTAATTTTGACCATGTTTTCCCAAAGGAGGCCACAAATCCAGAGGTGCTTTCGTTTAAATTTTAAACATGATACAGCTGATATTTTGTTTTTTGAGATACAGATAGAAAATATCTTTAGCATTCAAAAAAAGTTTTTGAAAACTTGTTAAACACGATCTTCAAAAACTTGTTTCCAAGGTGTGCAGTACCATAAGCAGACCTCTGGTGAATGCCGCTTTGAATGGATTCAATGGAACACTCATGGCGTATGGACAGACAGGATCAGGTATGAATTTTGAATTTCTCTTGTCCTCTTTCAGGGATGTAACTGGGAGAGGAGGGGTGGGGGAAAACTCGATAGTGCTCGTATCCCCTCCCCTTTAGGAAATGATTTTCCTCTTGGTCAACAACATACAAGCCTGATAATTCAGGTGATAAAAACGCTTGAATACAAAGAATCTGCATGGCATAAATCTAATCTAGTGTTAGATTCCTCATATGCCGGTCTCTACCACCGCGTGAATATGAGCCCGCTGACTCATAGGGTAGACCAGCTGTATAAGGTACTTCACGTAAGGTGCGCGTAATTCGTAACCGTAACCCGCCCTTTTAAAAATCTTTGCTATGCCCGTGTCTTTGTTGTAGAAATTAGATTTACAATTTTCATAGACGTGCCCTCATCATTATTCCAGGTAAGACCCATACATTGATGGCACCTGATGGGATAACAGCTGGTGTGGTTGAAAGATGCTTCAAACGAATCACAAAGGATGATTATCATGATTACAAGGTGACTGTAACATTGATCAAGCGGTAACCTCATAAGTCAGAGTGACCTAGTAGACCAATTAGATATCGAAGACAATGAAGGTGACTTGCACCAAAGCGCGGGAAACTCTTTAGCGCGGGAAGCACGGAACGGGAAACAGTAATATTTATTAAGTTGTAACCTCACAAGCCAGAGTGACCTAATGGGCCAATGAGATATCGACGACAATTGAGGCAAATTGCGCCAAAGCGCGGGAAACTCATTAGCGCGGGAAACACTAATATTTATTGAGTGATAATTTCATGAGCCAGAGTGACCTAATGGACCAGAATGGTTTTCTTAGTCAGATAAATTGATTTAAGTAACGAAAGTTGATTTCAGAACGTAGCCTACAGCAAAAGGCTTCGGACAACATTCACTTGACAACAGTTTGCCCCAGCATTGTTACGTTGTTTTGGTTAATGAAAAAAGATGTATTTGCTTGAATTGACAATATCGGTGTTACTTTGCAGGTAACAATGTCGTACTTGCAAATTTACCAGGAGAAAATATACGACCTTCTCAACTCAACGAACAAGGTGGAACTTAGCCTGAGAGAACACCCAGTTAAAGGTTTGTGGACATATACATCGAAGAAGATACACTTTTTGTGATCCAGTGCTCATCAGGTTTCCCTAAACTAGCTCTAACAGACTTAAAAAAGAAACTTGAATAGCCATCGAGCAGGCCTGCTCGCAGACTTAACTTAAAGGACGTCGAATTTCAAGTGAAACGTTTTTTAATTTTGTGTTTGCAATCCTCAGGTGTTTATGTAGAGAATCTTTCGGAGTTTGTAGTACGAAGCCCCTCAGAAGTGTTACATCTGTTAGCCGTGGGAAAGAAAAGACTCGTATTTGCTGAAACTAAGATGAACAGGAACTCAAGCAGGTACCACTCACTATGAGTTCTATTCCTTCGTTTGTTGATATTAAGTTCATTGCAAGAGTCAAAAGGCATTTATCGATAGATCGGGTTATCAACTCGGGAAAGGTTTATACTTTTTATTTAAACATTTTCCACAAGTCAAAAAACCTTATTATATTACAAACTGAGTAATTTTAAAGAATAGAATTATTTTGTTTCACCTTAGTGGTATCGAATTTATGGTCGTTTATAGATGATGGCACCACGCATGAGTACGAAAAGTGGTTTTCTTTTGCTTCCAGGTCCCATTCTGTTTGTCAGTTGACGATTGAAAGAACTCTGAACAAAAATAAGATGAACGCAGAGGGAATTGCTAAACATGGTAAGATTGCATTCTTCTCCACGTAAGGAAAGCCAAAGATCACGGAATCACTACTTTAAGATCTGAAATCCTCAATGCAGCTTTTTTTACTCATCATGACTTATGAAAAAAAAGAATCACTTTGGTTTATGCTTTTAGCTGTGCCTGGGCCGAAATGGTTGTATATACCTGGAAAGTTTGAAGAGCACTTAGATGCTAGATTTGCTCTCAGCTTTGCCTGGAGCCACTCTTACGCCTCCATTGTGCTCTTAAAACCTTCCCACTTGTGTCCATACCTCGATATACAAACGCTTAGCATGATCCAATTGGATCAATGTCAGTATCTGGACAACTGCGCACCTACCCTTCCCTTAACCCAACACTAACCTTAACTTGTTATCAATTGATTTTTGTTGGATTAGGGGAGGGGTAGGTGTGCAGTTACTCAGATACTTAGATTGATCCAACCAATTCTTAAGTACACAAAGTGGTGAATAAACGGTTAAGAATATACGAAAGTCATATATTTGAAGTGCGGATAAAGACGTGAATGAGAGTGATCCTCGAAGTAATGTGCATGCGCTGCACCGGTATCGCAGAGGTCATGGGTTCAAGTCCCGTACAGGCCTGGATTTTTTTCAGGCCTTATTTTCACTACTGCCTAAGTAGTGCACATTACTGC